TGTGTGTGTGTGTGTGCATGTGTGTGCGTGTGTGTGCGTACCAGTGTCTGCAGGTCGTTCTGTGAGTCTCTTGACTCCACGTCTCTCTTACGAACATGGTTTCTGTTTCGTCCCTCTGTCTCTCTCTCTCTGGGCGGGATCCCGCTGGTGTTCTTCTGTGAGGTCAACGGGTTCTGACACACAAACAAAATATATATTTTTGTTTGAAGAAGAAGTTTGGTTTCAATCAGTTGTTTGATGAAAACTTTAGTTCACATTCTTTGGATCTTGGCCGTTGAACAGAACCAGTGAACAGAACATTGAGATGAATCTTCCCCACATGTCGCTGGACCAGTTCCTGTGTTTCTAACGGCACTGCAGCAGGTTGTGTGTGCATGATCACCAACACGTGCACGTATGTAGTGCGAGTGTTTCTCACCGACACGTTGAGCGGGTTGATCTGTATGTCGGTGGTGCAGTTGATGGGTCCGTCCGTCTTGTATGATGTGATGTAGAGCAGAGAGCCGTTCCTGAAGTGGTACGGCCACTGGACCTCCAGACCCGCTTTACTGATGGTGCTGGGTCCACTGTTCAAGAGCTGAGGGTTCAGTAAAGTTAAAGTGAACCAACAACCAACAAACACGACTGAGACTGTGAACGCTGTGAATAAAACGTGAAGCCAAAACATCTGGATTGTAGACGTTAAATAAAAGTTTGTCACAGATGTTTCTGTCACTTCAGCTCATCTCTCTGAAGTTTCTCATCAGTTTGGTTTCCATTAGTTATTTAATGATATAAAACAGAGGTAGGCGTGATTGACAGCTGACTCTACACTCAGGATTGCAAGCATGGGCGGGACTTAGATACCCCAGCTTTGCTCCATTATCACTGCTGCTAACGATGTCATCACCACAAGATGGCAGCGTTGGTATCTGAGATATTTGAACTTTGTGGAGGAAGAGGAGACGAGTCATTTTCTTTATTTCCAGTTACAGTTGACATTAGCTCGCTAACACTCAATGATATAAACGACCACATTAGTTGTAGCAAAGTGTACCGAGTGTACATATACACACATACACACAGTGTGTTACCTCATAGACGTGTAATATCTGTGGTCCAATGTCGTCTTCAAGCACAGGAGGGTCCTTAGGTTTCCAGTTTGCAATGGGAAGTAGCACCTGACCAGGGGACGACGACCTGGGAGGACCACACACACACACACACACACACACACACACACACACAC